AGCCAAGCCTTTAACAGCATAAGACCCATCTGCACTATACATTTCATCATCATCATCATTTTTAATTTGTATGCTGCCTTTCTATCTTACAATACTCAAGGCGGTTTACAAGCTGAAGAAATAAAAAATGTACATCTTATAACAATCTAATGCAATACAAAAATGTGATAATAAAACATAACTTTAAAATAGGCAACCGCGATCAAAAAAGTAACTTTCAACAATCATTAGAATAGTATAAAATATTCTGGGTTAGCGCCTCCGGCAATGGCAGATTTCCTCTGATCGGGAGGAATCCGCTCCGTGGAAATCAGGGTCTGGACCACCACGGCGAGGCGGAGACCCACTAAAAACCACAGGCGGGAGAAGCCTGTGGACGTGGGATTCGGCTGGCACCTTTTGCGCCTCCCCTACTCGTGGGGAACCCCGGTTTCGGGGTTCCGGAGCGACGTGGGGTGAGTGGCGCGGTGCTTCGGATCGACTGCTTCTTTCACGGAGTGAGAGAGCACTGACTTTTTCCTGTGGACAAGTGGACTTTAAACAACTACCCGTGAGTAGAACGGAAAATTGGATCTTTAAACATCTTAATTTGGCATCGAAACGGGAAGGTTTCAAACAGGAAGTCCGCCTTCCTCTTTTGTAAATAGATTGAAGCAAAGACGTTGCAAACTAAAGTCTGGAAAGCCTTTTGTAAAGGATTAAATCTCCATCGGTTAAAATTACTAAACCCCCCTTGGAAGCAGGAGAAGAGGGGGGAAATTTTAGATCGCCTAAGCCTGCAGGAGAGAGAGTGAAGAAAGATAAATTACCACCGTTTTGAACCTGGGAATGGGCTGCCAGTAAGATCGACGTTTTGGGAAAGTTCATTGACTGTGAATAAAACGTATGTTGACAGATAGTTAAATAAGAGAAATATATTGTTTCCATTGTTTCCTTTTGCATTTAAAAAGGAGCAAAAGTAACTGAAAATCGAACTAACTTTGTTGCTGGATCTGCGTTTAAAAGGACAGATACAAATAGAAATTGTTTCCCCTAGAGGGAGCTTTTGAAACTGTTGCAGGAGTGGAGCTGGGGAATTTTCCAGCTGTAGAGATTAAAGACCGTGAGAATCAGAGATTGACCTTGGACAAGAATGTTGACAGAAGAAGTCTTAGTGATTGCATTTTGCAAGACAAGTGCTTTATTGGAACAGCTTCATGAGAAGACGGATGTGATGATTATTAAAATTGACAATTTGGGACAAAAAATGACTGATTTGGGACAAAAAGTGAATACCTATACAGAAACAACTCAGGAATTGATTCAGGAATCTGTTTTGACATGGCAAGCTATGGAGAAGACGAAGGAGAAAGCTGTTGTTGAACCTCAAGTAATTCAAGTGGAGAGAGCCCCGGCCTTACAGAGGCAATTTGATGAACATAAGCTGTTGCCTTTTACGATTGAATCTAGAGAAAGCCAGATTTGGAGGGATGGAGTTCCGCTTGGATTGGAGAAGGAAAGTTGGATAGATCCCCTTATGCAGGGATGTTCTGGCTTTTGGGATCTGGATTTGGGTCAGGGGGAGATTGGAGTTGGGGGGGGCCTTTAGCTTTGGAGGGATTTTGAAACACGCTCTGAAATATCTTTTGGACTTTAGTTCTGACTATGGAGAATGGGCTGACCTGTCGAGAAGGAATAAAGACATTGTTAGGTTGGAGTTTCCCCGAGATCTACTCCTCAGTGCCAAAGGAAGGAAATTAAGAACAAGATCAGCAGAAGATAAAGTAAAGTACATGTATAAATATGAAGAAGATCTGCAGAAGGGACATGGAAAAGAGCTAAGAGCCTCAGATAGAAGATCACCAGGTTGATGGACCATATGGAATTGATAGAAAGGACTGACAGAATCCAAGACCAGGGAGAAGAGACGGTGGAAGAAGATTGGAAAATTTTAAAAAATTATTTAGAGAAATATTGTAAAATTAATGAGTGTTAGAAAAATGTTGGAATGGAATTATACGGCTTTAGTAGAAATGTTATAAGGAGTTAAGTATAAATAAGTTTTAGGGTTTTAATGGTAATATAAGGTTAAAATAAATTAAGACAATTAAATGACAGAAAACAGTGAAAGATGGAAAGGATTTGCTGAAATAATTAATAACTAGAACACAAAAAAGGGAGGTGTGAGGAGGTCGATGAAACAAGTTAATGAAAGATAAAGATATGGAAATACTGGATGTGTTTTTAATTGTTTTTGCTTTTGTTTTTGTTTTGATGTATTGTGTCTTTTGTTTTTGTTTTTTATATGTACTGTAATGTATTGATTTGTATTGTTTACTTTTTCTCTTTCTTTTCTATTTCTTTCTGTAATTCTTAAACTTTTAATAAATATTATTTTTAAAAAATAGAATAGTATAAAATAATAATATCAACATATAAAAGTTAAACAGAAATCCACTCAACAGTTACAATAATATCTAAACTATAATCAATAAAACAACGGCAAGCCAGCGCATAAAACAATACAATATACATTGAGAAGCAGAGGGTAGAGCAAGGCAGGTGGAAGGAGGCCTTGCCTGATGGAGTCTTTCCCCTCACAGTTCTTCCTCCAGGAACAGCTCCCTTATGAGGACTCCTAGGGCCAGAGGGTGGGACAAGGCAGGTGGAAGGAGGCCTTGCCTGATGGAGTCTCTCCCCTCACATTTGAAGCGACATCATCTTACTTTAAACAGCCGTGGCTCCCCCCCCCCCCAAGAATCACAGGAACTGTAGTTTGCTAAGAGGGCTGAGAGTTAGTAGAAGACTCTGTGTCCCCCTCCCAGAACTACAGTGGTCAGAGCAGCTTGTGGAGCTGGGAAAGGCAAGAGGCAACACCACAGAAGCCAGCCTCTCCATCATAAAAGGTCCCAGGCTGGGTTACAACCGTATCGAAAATAAAAGTTGAAAATCAGTTAAAACAATTTACAATAGAGATGGTCCTAAATATTTATGTATCTCAGGTGTCTAAGACCAGGATGAAGCAGCACATCTTCAGCATATGGTAGAAGCTCTACAATGAAGGTGCCAGCCTGTGGCGATCACACAGGGTCCCCGGACGTTTGGCGGTCTATTGATCCCTGTGCCACCACTTGATTGCTTCCCCGCTGCCACCAACCCATTTCTCTTGGGTACACACAGAGTCCAGACAGTTGTTAACATTAAGTCAAATAAGCAAGTTTATTTTGTAAGCATTAACAAGGTTATGGTTTCAGATAATTTTTCTTGTCAGTTTCTTAATTTTAGTTTCTTTACTGGCCTATACCTTCCTAGTAACTTCTAACTGATTATCCCAACTGTCTCTCTGACTCCTCCTAACAGTTTCTCTCACTCTCACACATCAAAACTAGACCAACCCACATACATATCGTCTCTCTTCCTTCTCCAACTCCCAACTGACTTTCCAACAACTCCAACTCTACTCTAACTCCTCCCCTTGGGTTCCCACTGGCCAATCACTTCACACTCATTTAACCCTTTTCTTATGACCCACCTAGGAGGGCAAATGCCACACAGCCTGCCAGGTATACCTCCCTGGGGAAGGAATTCCACAAATTAGGAGTTGCTGCAGAGAATGTCCTCTACTGAGGCATCATGACCTCCCAAACTTCAAATGGAACTGGAAGCACTAAGAGGGTCCCCTCTGCCGATCTTAATGCCCAATGGTGCCTGCAGGGAAAGGGGTGCTATTTTAGATATTTTGGGCCTAAGTCATTTAAACTTCTTGAACTGGGCCCAGAAATGATCTGGCAACCAGTGAAATGACCAGTAAAGGTAAAGGTACAGGGACCTCTGACCATTAGGTCCAGTCGTGGCCGACTCTGGGATTGCAGCGCTCATCTCGGTTTATTGGCTGAGGGAGCCGGTGTACAGCTTCCGGGTCATGTGGCCAGCATGACTAAGCCACTTCTGGCGAACAAGAGCAGTGCACGGAAACGCCGTTTACCTTCCCACCGGAGCGGTATCTATTTATCTACTTGCACTTTGACGTGTTTTCGAACTGCTAGGTTGGCAGGAGCAGGGACCGAGCAATGGGAGCTCACCCCATCATGGGGATTCGAACCGCCAACCTTCTGATCGGCAAGCCCTAGGCTCTGTGGTTTAACCCACAGCGCCACCTGCGTCCCAAAATGACCAGTAAGAGTGACTAATTCTTTCTCTCTTTCCATTGGGATGGTATTTAATTCTACATCCGCACTAGCAATATGTACCCCTCTAGTATGAAAAATGTGCACATACATCGCAATTCACTTCTTATCTTTCAGTATTTTTTCTTCAGAATCCAGGCCTTTTAACGGCTCAGAACTCCCCCCTCCCCACCCCAGGTTAATGGTAAAAGTTCTGTTACATGTGGATAGATTGTAAAGACTCTGTGACTTTGATGCCAATGTGATGACCTCTTGGAATGGTCTGTTCTGATGCCTCCCTCTTCCATTGCTGCCATGCAAGGACTGACTGGCACAAACGCAAGGAATTGTTTCATAAGCCTGGTAGGGCATCCATCCCTCTCTGGCTCTGAAAATCAATCATCTTTACTTCAAATATGCATCTTGGTGTGAGAGGCATAGATATAACCTGTTTCCGCCTGCAGCTAGTTTTGTAGCCAGCTTTTCATTTATTTTAAAAAGCAAAACAAGGGGAGGGGGACAGAAAATGCTTTGGAACCATGCTAATTTCCTACCTGTTCTTCTGTTGTGGCTATGGTGGAATGGCAATTATTTTGTTTGTTTATTTCTTTCAAAATATTTACATCCCACTTGATTGTAATAAAAACTCAAAGCAGGTTGTCAAAAATAACAAAACAGAATTATCAGTAAAAAAAAGTGTTGTAAAACAAGTATTTAAAACATTAAAGGGAAATATTAAAATCCACAACAAATTAAGCAGAGATTGAAACACATGATGACTTCTGCGTGCGTGGATATGCTTGCCTAAACAAAAACTTTTTAGCAGGCACTGAAAAGAGCATGGTGACAGTGCCTGTCTCACTATGTATAGCTCAGTTGGTTAGAGTGTGGTGCTAATAACGCCAAGGTTGCAGGTTCGATCCCTGTATGGGACAGCTGCATATCCCTGCATTGCAGGAGATGATCCTCAGGGTCCCTTCCACCTCTACAATTCTATGATTCTATGTCAATCAGCAGGGAGTTCTGAAGTATGGATGCTGCCACACTAAAAGAGCAGCTTCTTACAAGTGTGGGAGGAGTACTATTTGGCAATGGTAGCCCCTTGAGCTTGGCCTGGTGTGGGTGGCAGGTGAATGTGATCTGGCTGCTCAGTTGATCTGTTTGTACATGTAGCATTTTATGTATTGACTCCCTTTTTTTGCTGATATTGTCTTATTTGCAGACTGTCTTGCCAGAGTGGTGCATGCTCTAGTTATCTCCCGCTTGGACTACTGCAATGCGCTCTACGTGGAGCTACCTTTGAAGGTGACTCGGAAACTGCAGTTAATTCAGAATGTGGCAGCTAGACTGGTGACTGGGAGTGGCTGCCGAGACTATATAACACCAGTCCTGAGAGACCTGCATTGGTTCCCAGTACGCTTCCGAGCACAATTCAAAGTGTTGGTGCTGACCTTTAAAGCCCTAAACGGCCTCGGTCCTGTATAACCTGAAGGAGCATCTCCACCCCATCGTCCAGCCCGGACACTGAAGTCCAGCTCTGAGGGCCTTCTGGCGGTTCCCTCACTGTGAGAAGTGAGGTTACAGGGAACCAGGCAGAGGGTCTTCTCGGTAGTGGCACCTGCCCTGTGGTACACCCTCCCAGCAGATGTCAAGGCAATAAGCAACTATTTTACTTTTAAAAGACAACTGAAGGTGGCCCTGTTTAGGGAAGTTTTTAATGTTTGATGCTGTATTATGTTTTTGATATTCGATTGGAGTCCGCCCAGAGTACACATTATACACATTATGCTGTGTGAATGGCTGTTGTTGCAAGTGCACACAGCTGATTTGCCCCATTGAGCTGGTTCAACAATGCAATGTGCCAACAACACATGCAAACAAATGGTGTGTGTGTTTTTACACACATGCACCTGTGCCTTGAAGCATCCTTCCCTAACCTTTGGCCCTCTGGATGACTCCGGCTCCCATCAATTATAGACATCATGCCCAGTGGTCAGAGACTCCTATTCCCAGCTTTTGACAGTATCATAAGTTGTGCAAAGTTTCCATGTTGAATTCCTAGTGTCTCCAATTAATGCCAAGACAAGAAACCTAGTGCAGATATTCTTGGACTACATGCCTATGTTGTTGAACTCCAACTCCCATCAGTTCCAGCAACAGTGGCCAGTGGTCAGAGACCATAGGAGTTGGTGTGCAAGTTATTGGGGAAGATTGTCTTGGAGTGACACTACATGTAAGGTATTGTGATGGACAGTAAAATGCTGCCTGGGCCACTAACTTAGGAGCTTTACCACACTTGGAGGGCATTAAAATATTACAAAGAAGCCATACCACCACTGGTGATGGTCCCACCCTCCTGCAAAAGAATACTCCAAGAATATTGCATAAAAATTGTTCTCTTTCTGGGAGCGAATTTTGCTGCCTTTCCAGCTGCCAGCAGAAAATTCTCTTCTCCGGATTTTTGGCTAATCTCTAGGATGCTGCAGCCTCTGCTGTTGCATTTAATTCTGGCCATGTGCTGGGGCAAAGGAGCAATGTTCAATAACCAAGAGGGGGCCCCATGCAGCCCCCTTTCATTTCTTTGTACCTGCTGTCCCTTCTTTGTCCCCCAAGCGATCGAAGAGCCTCTAAATGCTGAAAGAGACATCAGCCCCAATCCTGCCAAGCATCTGTCCCCATCTATTCTGCACAGGAGCTATAAACATGATGGACGGAATACATCAGGGAGGAAATAGAGGGATAAATCAAAGAGGCAAATACAGATTTGTATTCATTTAAAGTTTCTACCTTGCAAGAGGTAATGACTTTCTCTCCAAGTATGCGCCTGAATGCGGGAAGAGGAAACCAACAAGACAGATGCTCCTCCCTGTTGGCATTGGGGTGGGGGTATCACCAATTTAGGGTTGAAGACCTTCGGACCCAACTACTGCATGCTTGGTGTCAAGAACGACCCTCCAGAGGCAAAGAATGATAACCAGAGGATCCCAAAGGGATGAGACAAGGAGCCATTGTCAAAGGCTGGCTAGTGCAATATGGCTCCCTGTGGTGAGCCACTAGGGCAGCCTTCCCCAGTCTGGTGCCCTCTAGATGGGTTAGACTATCAGTGTGAGCTAGCTGATTCCTATCAGCCTGAGCTAGCATGGCCAATGGCCAGAGAAGGTGGGCATTGTGGACTAAAATATCTGAAGGGCACCAGGTTGGGGGGAGGAACACTTAGGGAGAAATGCTTCTGGATCTGTGCGCTGATGAGGGAGCCCTGGAATCTTCTGGTGGCTTTGTATTATTTGCCTTATTTATTAGCATTCCAAGAAGCTGCAACTCTGCATCACAGTAGATTGGTGGAATTCCAGTGTGTCAACCATGCACATGCCACAAGCCTTTCTATTTTCTGCACAGCATCTCTTGCAAACCCCCCATACGAAGTAAATGTAAAGTAGCAGAAAATTGTGTTCTACCTATTGGAAGCAGTAGAAACCCCACATAAGCCCTCTTCACTTGTGTACAGGCTGAATGCAAATGGGGAAGCTATTCGCTGACCCTACTCTTAATGTAGGCACTTTCACTTTGATGTTAGAATAGAAACCTCATGGATATGGCTACTTATGCACCTCCTTTTCTCGCTCTCTCTACGATCAGGAGCCCAGCTTTTTCAGGATTCTCAATCCTGTGGGGAAAAGCCTGCATGTGCACAGCAAAGTGTGTGTGTATGTCCCAGCCTTGAAAGAATGCATGAGTATTGGGAAGAAGGATCTGCCTGCATTCTGCCCCACCCCCCACACAATGTATTCACAAATTGTATGGGAAAGGCTATAGATGAAGAAAAGGTGTCCAGGTATGATTTTGTATGTTAATATAAAGGTAAAGGGAACTCTGACCATTAGGTCCAGTTGTGGCCGACTCTGGGGTTGGGGCGCTCATCTCGCTTTATTGGCCAAGGTAGCTGGCGTACAGCTTCCGGGTCATGTGGCCAGCATGACTAAGCCGCTTCTGGCGAACCAGAGCAGCGCATGGAAACGCCGTTTACCTTCCCACTGGAGCGGTACCTATTTATCTACATGCACTTTGATGTGCTTTCGAACGGCTAGATTGGCAGGAGCTGGGACTGAGCAACGGGAGCTCACCCTGTCGCGGGGATTCGAACCACTGACCTTCTGATCGGCAAGTCCTAGGCTCTGTGGTTTAACCCACAGTGCCACCTTGTGTTAATATAAAGCTCAGGGCCTCAGGCTACTTTGCAGACGGCCTTATCCCATGGATATCGAATAGGACATTGGTTATCCTTAAAATTTCTCCTTAAAGTCTCAAAAATATCAGAATACTGCTCCAAAGTAACTCAAAGCAGGGCTTTCAGTGTTTTGTGGAACGCCATCCCTGGTGAGATATGACAAGAGCCCAGTTTCTGTACATTTCAGAAACAACTGAAGACATTTTGGTTCTGACAAGCTTTTCCAGTTGGCTGAAAAGGTCTCTGCCTTGTGTTCATTTTGCATTGTTTTCCAACTTATCTTTAGTTTAAAAAAATTAATTTTAGCTCTTTTAATGGCATGTTTGTAAATTGCCTCGAGACACACGTACAAGGAAATTCATAAATACACAGGATGTCTATAGAGGCACACAGTTCTTTAAGTACATAGCGACTAAAATATCATGTGTAAATCTTGGCAAACCTTTTAAAATTCCTTCTTTACCAGGAGTGAGAAAGGTATTGGAGCCAGGTTGCTTTTGCCAACGCTACATCCTTCATCCACAGACACATCCCTGTTACTGAACATAAACCATTGGCAGCATTATTAGCAGAGATGGAAGAACAGGTGAGGAACTTTCTATCATCCCTCCAGCTCCATCTGTCAAAGGCAGCACATTTTCTGTTTGCAAACCAAAAGGTGAAATAGAAGCTCAAGATTTCTTTCGAAAATAAAGCTCACAACTCATTCCTGCTCTCACCCCTCTGGTCTAATGTGTTTATATCTTTTCATCTATCTGCCAGTTCCCAACTTCTTTATCTATCTCTCTTTCTCCCTCTCTCTCAATTATCTCCCTTGCCCTCTGTAACACCATTAATCTTACTATAATATCCTTTGCTTTCTATCTGGCTCCTTTGAACTGTCTCTGCCTTCTTGCTTGTATCATTCTCTCTGCATTTATATTACAGTCCGGCTGAAAAAAAATATCTGGGGGGAAATACTATTGTGAGTTTAGCCATCTTGATGACTGTGAATGGGCCTGTCATCACATGAAAGAGAGGCCAAGGGCTTTAAGAAAAGAACTGTCACATTACTTGATAGTGAGAAATACGTCTACAGGTATTTCTACAGGTGAAATTCCCACCGGAACTTGCGAAGGTGACTCCTCGAGCTAGTCTACCTCATGAATTTGGGAGCAGAGATCTGGGAACTTTTACCTGGAATTAGCTAGCCTGAAAGTTGCTGGGGTGCTGTGAGAATCCATGCCGCTGCTGCCAGGGAATATGTCCTGGTCAGCTGGAACTTGGGGTTTGCAAGGGAAGTGGGCACAGTTAGGCCAAGTCTCTGGTGAGTATGTCAATTCAAGGCAGGCCCCTTCAAGCAGAAATCAGGACCACGGATAGCTCCAATTAGGCCTTCTGGCTGAGCTATGGAAAGAGTTTGCCTTAACAAGGAGCTGAAGTCAACAACAGCCTGTTCGCCATTAGGCCACACATCTTTTAAGGAGGCAGGTGTGTTGCCCTTGTCAGGTTTCTTATGCTTTGTTTTCTGCAAGGTCTAGGAGATAGAGAGGCTGCTGGCATCAGTGGGTGGTGGTAAGGCAATGTTCTCCAACTTGGAGGCCACGGACGAAGGTACTGAAGGTTCTCCTCTGGGGAAAATGAGCTGACGCATTATTAAAGCATGTGGACAGCAGGGAGGGGGAGGAAGGAGGAGGTAATGCAGGCAAGGGACGCTCCCTACTGTGACGTTAACATATGAGAGTACTGGAGGTGAAATAGTTAAACAGGTTACCCAATCAGGACCCAAGGGGGTGGAGTCAGAGGGACTATAAAACCAGCTCTGGGAGGGGCAAAGGGAGGAGTTCGTTGGGAGTTGGGTGGTTGGTTGGAGTGGGAGTGAATTGGGAGAGTCTGTGGGTAGGTTGAGTTAGTGTAGCGAAATAAGCTGAGTCAGGAACAGTTAGGAACTAGGAAGACAGGTAAGTATCTGAGAGGTGGTTTAGTGAGTGAGAGCAGGTAGCAGAAGTTATAGGTCTGGATAGGCAACCCATGATTGTAATGGACCGATATTGTTTATGAAACCACATGCTTGTTAAACCGCAATAAATAAACAGAAGTTTATGTTCCAATTTAACCCTGACTGGACTCAGTATTGTACCAGGTAGGGCCTGGGTGGTAGCAGCGAGAAATAAAGTGGTGGCACAGGGATCAATAGATGGTGAAATGTCCGAGGACCCTGTGTGATCCCCACACCTACATGATCTCATTCTTCCCTCTGCTCACCACCCAATCTTCCCCGCTTTCGACAGCTCTGGATCACTCTGGTGAACCCAACCCACAGTGATCTGGGGCTGCCATGACACCCACTCTGGACAAACCTCCGTTTAAGCTGAACCAGCCTAATTAATCTAGAGATTGTCCAGAGGCATAGCTCGATTTTTACAGCCTGTAAATCTCCTGTGCATTCTCAACCAAAGGAAATAAGACCCTTCACTTTTTCCTCTGGACAAGTTCTCACAACTTGGGGAAATAAGAAACAATACCACACAGAGAGACACACAGACACTGAGAAATTGTCATGACTTTAAAAGAAAAGATTGAAAAGAAAAGAAATTGAAAATTGCTTTGGAAATGTGGAGAACTGCAAAATTAGCTATGGCCTTTTAAACTGTGGGGTTATTGTTTTTTGCGTTGTTGTTGATAGGTTTTTTTTTTGTTTGTTTTTATGTTGTAAACCACCCTGTGATCCTCGGATGAAGGGGAGTATATTAATTAATTAATTAAAGTTGGGAAAAGTGAGAAACTGAGAGAAACCATAATTCCTCCATCCCTACTTAGTTCCTTAGTCGCAGGTAATTAAACACATCACAAAGGTGCATAACAGTAATAAGACATGGAAGGAACTCAAGTCATAAAAGTATTAATGCTAAGCAACTTCCAAACTGCAAATGTAATGATCCAATTTCAAAACAAGCCCATAATAAACTGTGTATTCTAACTGACATCTAGTGTTGCTTTGAAATGTATGCAGAGAACTCTGTTAACCACATCATACTATTTGCTATCGGAAACGTTCAAGGTTCCTTTAAGTCGGCGGATGAGCTCAAATAGGCTTGTCGCAGGCATCTCAGATTCATTTTGCTCACTTCTGACCTCAGTTTACTTTCTTCAGGCCTTCACCTGTCGGGGTGCCTGATAAGGGATCATTTTCCAGCCAGGGAGAGACATCCCTTATGATTGGATTTGTGGGTGTCCATATTTTACACGGGCATTTTGGAATTCAGGTGGATCCTCTGGGCTCCAAAATAGGCACCAATTGATCCAAAAGGTTTATAATCCTCATTGCACTCCTGAGGGCTTTCCTGGGAGGCACAAGGTCTACTAGTGTTTGAGTTTTCACTTCCTCTCTTGGAACACATTGTGTGCTCTTAATTGCCCTGTCATTCATAAATGATTGGCATCATGAAGGCAAACAGTGGCAAGCTTCAAGGCCTCTAGAACTTGGCACCCTCCTGATAATGTAATTGGGGGGAGGGGAACCAGGGTCTAGAAGCCTTCTGGAATTTTTGGGTCCTGTAAGGGAGTTCACACACACACAAACACACACACACACACACACACACACACACACACACATATATATATATAATTTAACAAATTTAACAAATCAAATTATAAATTAAATATAACCAATTACATTTTCCCCCTCCCTCCCTCTCCCACCCTCCAGAGACTTCCCTCAGCTCCCATCTCTGATTTGTTCATACATATTATTCTCTGCATGTTGTGAAATTGTACCTATCATTAACTTGTCTCTCATATGTTCTACTAATAATTTTGTGGATGTTTATTCAAAACCTGTCAAGGAGTCCAAATCCTTTTGTTCTCTTTTTAAATAGTTTGTAAATACAGTGGTACTTCGGGTTACAGACGCTTCAGGTTACAGACACTTTGGGTTACAGACTCTGCTAACCCAGAAATAGTACCTCAGGTTAAGAACTTTGCTTCAGGATGAGAAACGAAATCGTGCAGTGGCGGCGGGAGGCCCCATTAGCTAAAGTGGTGTCTCAGGTTAAGAACAGTTTCAGGTTAAGAACAGACCTCCAGAACTAATTAAGTTCTTAACCTGAGGTACCACTGTAATTCCCATTCTGGGAGTTCACAGATATTTTGAGTCCATAATAAGCCCCAAAACAAACACCAGGTTTGTTGGGAGAGCTTTGGTCTCTTGTATCATATGGAATTAGGGAGACCAAATACAGTGGTACCGTGGGTTACATACGCTTCAGGTTACAGACTCCGTTAACCCAGAAATAGTGCTTCAGGTTAAGAACTTTGCTTCAGGATGAGAACAGAAATCGTACTCTGGCGGTGCAGCAGCAGCAGGAGGCCCCATTAGCTAAAGTGGTGCTTCAGGTTAAGAAGACTTTCAGGTTAAGCACAGCAGTCAGCCTTACAGCAGAAAGAGCACTTTACAATATACAGGTATCTCACAGCTTATGTGAGGGTTCAGTTCTATGGGTCCACATGTATATGCAAAAACACATTATGCCAGGAACCCCCAGTACTGCACCCCCCAAAAGGCTGCTTACCTGGGCTTCAGGAAAGTAGTGTGAGGGCTCTGGGATGCTGCCAGAACCTTTGTGTCCCCTTCCTAAAGCCAAGCAAGCCTGCAATCACAGCTTTGCACAGGTAGAGGGGGGAAATAAATTGAGAGTGAGGTTTCTCCACTCTCAATTTATTTATTTATTCCCACACACACCTGTGCACAACTGTGATCACATATGTAAGGTAAATGTAAGATGTGAATTACCTGGATTCAATTATTCTGGTATGGATTTAGTGATGGTTCTTATGTTCTTTGGTGTTTACCAGTAATTTTCATTGATATTAAGAACACAGCCCCATGGCCCCCAGGTTCAGAAGATGAAAGTAGTATTGCTTATAATGGGTTGACGCCCCCAGAGATGGATTTTGGCCATGTCCACCTACCAATCTCCTGGCATCATATATTATGACAAGTGTGAGCAGGTATAATGTTGACTGGGTTGGGCCAAAAGGGGTTTTGGATGTGCCCCTGATCAGCTGATTGGCAATGCTTCAGAAGCGCTCCACACCTGACTTCTGAAGGAACTTCAAAGGGCTGTGTGGGATACTATGCAAGCCCTGTGCACCCCTTTGAAGTCCCAACAATCTGCTGGTTATCAGGGCATCAAAGCACTGATATCCCCTGATGTCCTTGTGACATCAAGTGATTGACAGTGGCCCTGCCCATCTGTCAAATTTGGCCCGTGCAAAGGGAGAGAGGAGATGAACAAGTGGCCCACCACTCAGATCCAGTTCCCCAGTCCATCACAGGACTTGCTTTCCTTACCTCTGACCATCTCTGCTGCTCTCTGCACCCTCTTCAGTTTCTCCATCTTCTTCTTAACGAATGTCATCAGACTAACTGACGACCTCAGAGCTACTACTTTCTTGGGCAACTTTGGTGCTCATGTAGCCTTATTGGAGTTCACCGATTGGGTCTGCGTTGCTCCCGGACAGGAGGAAGGAAGTCAAATGACACCAGGGGTTGGTTCAGAGAAAGAGTTTATTCTGCTCTCTGGATAGCAGAAGGCACTTGCGTGGTCAGTCCACAGCAAGTCCAAAGAAATGAGAAGTTTCATGCAGTATATATATCCTCCAGGCACCCTCTCCCTCCTTCCCCAGGAATCCAACCACGTCAGCCTATGTACGCAGGTTGACATCACATATGTTCCTGCTCTGGTATTCTTAACCATAAAAGGGTATTCCTTCCTGTACTTCTTTCCATAAAAGGATCTTCCTGTTCCTACTCTTATCTTGGAGCAAGAGATCATCATCTCTGAGAACACACTCTGGCGCTGTTCCCAGACTGGGTCTGTGCGTTTCTGTGGTCAGGACGTAAGATAAGGCACAGACGTGTCTTCTCTGTTCTACTGGTACAGTCAAGGCTTTGCTTGCCGTCACAAACTGATAAAGGAGAGGGCTCTGAGCATTTGTTTATACAGCTGAGCCTTTTGGCTCAAGAGCTCAAGTTTATGCATTTTAGAAATGCTAAGAAGAAAGGGGGGGTTCGAGTCAGTTTTAAACTGACTGCACAGAAACCCATTCCTTCACTCAGAGGGAGCTGCTTCTTCCTGTCACATATGAGGTTCAGGGGTGTACATCTGTGACAGCAAAGGAACACAGGACGGAACATGGTAAGGAAAGTATATGAAGACGTTCCCTGGATTAGAAAGCACCAGGATGTTCTGTGTCTGGTACCGTCATCGAGTAAGCGGTTTTAAATTAGCAACTCAACAGCCTTCAAGAGGTGTGAAGAAACCATTTCTCCCTCTAGTAAGTGCTATAATGGAGCACCTGGTGGGACTTTGGCTAGCAAGACGCCAGCGGAAAAAGAATCTGTCAGCTTCTATGAAGCCAATTACGGAAACCTTTTTTCTTTCCTTTTCCTTTTTGCTTTTTTGCTAAGCGGGGATGCTGAACGGGCTTTCCTGCCCCCATTAACAGTGTGAGTGGACTTCAAGAAGCAGGCCTCCCGCTGGGGTGCTCTGCACTTGCTGAGTGCTGCCAGGTTGGGAGTACGATGAGAGCTGGATTGCGAAAGAAAACCTCACAGCTTGCAGAGCACATTTCAAAGCCTGTTATGGGAATGTATTGTGGTTGTGGGGGGTGGCGGGGAAGGGAGGGGAGCTTTGATTAAGGACACTTAATTAGGCACCCACAGGCAAACTACTGATCCACAGGGTCAGCCCAAGCAGTGCAGAGGCTCTTGCCCAAAGACTCATCTGGTGGCCAAGGCAGCCACCATCCTGTCTGTCCAGGAATAAAACACCATAGACGGTCATCAATGGATGCACAAGACAACTTTGAAATTGTTTTTCAATTCATTTTAAATCTTAACTAGGTCAGGACAAGAAACAGGAAAAGTAGGGGGAGGAACCCCTCAGACTGGTGCTTGGAAATAGCAATTTATGATTACTTGGAAATTGCCTGACGCATTTTGAAAATGATGCTCCTCATGGACTGCCCACCTCCACACACACCTTTCTTCTGGCAGGACAGCAAGCGCCAGCTCTACAGCAGGGATGGGGAGCTTCTGGCTCTCCAGATGTTGCTAGACTGAAACTACCACCACCTGACTACCTGATCTGGCTGGGGCTGATGGGAGTTGAAGTCCAACAGCATCTGGGAGGCTACAACTTCAGCATTCCTGCTTTACAGAGAAAGAGGCAGTAAGAAGCTGTCTTACACTGAGTACATCTATTTGTCTATCTAACCCACTGATAGGCAACCTCCGGCTTGCAGTCCATACAGCTGTGGAACTCTAAGAGGTACGACCAGCTCCTGACTTGCTATTATTTAAGCAGGCTCTAAATATATTCTTACTCATCATTGGGTTTGTGGAAGTTGCATAAGAGGTAGGGGCTTATGTTTTTATTGCTGGCAGACAGAACTGGATTAGAAGTGATTTTACAGGGACTGGGAAACTTTGACCTTCCAAATGTTGTTGGACTCCCATCTGTAGGGATGATTGCTGGGTGTGGAGCACACTCCCGCCCACGAGCAGCCTCAGCTGCCTGCATGCGTGACCTTGGGGTGCGGGGCACACTCCCCCTCACAGATAAAGCCACAACTGAATGAACATATTGCCCTCTGTCTAACCTTTTGCGGTCTCAGTAGTCTGCGATGTCCTGTCTGTGACCTTTGTCTCTGAGACCTTTGTCTCCTTCGTCATACATTGTGCAAGGGGAAAATGACGCGGTGGAAACAGGTGCCAAAATAACTTTGTACCACCCTTCGATCTTGGGACTGGAAGGTCACAGCCCAAAATGCATCTGCCTGGGTTTGCATATTGTGTCAATAAAAGGAGCCTCCACAGAGCTGGCCGGCAGCTTGCTTGCAGCTCACCTGTGTGCAGCTCACCTGCATTACCAACTCCTGCCTCATGTCCTTCACTTCACCCATCAGCCCCAGCCAGAATCACCAATGGTCAGGGGTGATGGCAGTTGTTGTCTAACAAGATCTTGGAGGGTCTCTAGTTCACTACCCATGGATTAGAAGAAGTAAAATATTTTACTGCTGCTATCACTATTATTATTATGCATTCTTTGATATTTAATGTGATTTTTGTTGCCTAAAGAATCACAGAATTGTAGAGTTTGCATGGAAGCAATTGTTAGAACACCACCATATAAATGTGTTAAACGAACAAATGAATGAATGAATGAATGAATGAATGAATTCTGTCTATACATTCCATTCAACTAATCCATCTGGGAGATTTGCAAAACAAAACAAACTAATACCACCTTACAAATACAATGAAATCACATCACAAAACATATATTAAAAGGTAAAGGGACCCCTGACCATTAGGTCCAGTCGTGACCGACTCTGGGGTTGCGGCACTCATCTCGCTTTATTGGCCGACGGAGCCGGCTTACAGCTTCCGGGTCATGTGGCCAGCATGACTAAGCCGCTTCTGGCGAACCAGAGCAGCACATGGAAATGCCGTTTACCTTCCCGCCAGAGTGGTACCTATTTATCTACTTGCACTTGACGTGCTTTCGAACTGCTAGGTTTCAGGAGCAGGGACCGAGCAACGGGAGCTCACCCCATCATGGGGATTCGAACCGCCGACCTTCTGATCGGCAAGTCCTAGGCTCTGTGGTTTAACCCACAGCGCCACCCGTGTCCC